TTTGATGATACCAGCCCAAACCAGTACTCCACCTCCACCTTGCTGGCGTCTGAGTCGGACTGGAGCTCTCTGCCCTTTACCAATCCAGCCACGGGCCCATCCATCTGGCCCATCAAGACTCACTCTCATTTCATCAGTCCATAAAACCTTAGAAAAATCAGTCTTGAGATATTTCTTGGCCCAGTCTTGACGTTTCAGCTTGTGTGTCTTGTTCAGTGGTGGTCGTCTTTCAGCCTTTCTTACCTTGGCCATGTCTCTGAGTATTGCACACCTTGTGCTTTTGGGCACTCCAGTGATGTTGCAGCTCTGAAATATGGCCAAACTGGTGGCAAGTGGCATCGTGGCAGCTGCACGCTTGACTTTTCTCAGTTCATGGGCAGTTATTTTGCACCTTGGTTTTTCCACATGCTTCTTGCGACCCTGTTGACTATTTTGAATGAAACGCTTGATTGTTCGATGATCACGCTTCAGAAGCTTTGCAATTTTAAGAGTGCTGCATCCCTCTGCAAGATATCTCACTATTTTTGACTTTTCTGAGCCTGTCAAGTCCTTCTTTTGACCCATTTTGCCAAAGGAAAGGAAGTTGCCTAATAATTATGCACACCTGATATAGGGTGTTGATGTCATTAGACCACACCCCTTCTCATTACAGAGATGCACATCACCTAATATGCTTAATTGGTAGTAGGCTTTCGAGCCTATACAGCTTGGAGTAAGACAACATGCATAAAGAGGATGATGTGGTCAAAATACTCATTTGCCTAATAATTCTGCACTCCCTGTATAGTTTGTAAACAACATGTGACTTGAGTGGAGGTCAAGGTAAAACAGAGATAGTAAAAGCTAAAGGAAGAATGCGGTAGGGGAAATACATTAATTGGTTAGTTGTTACCTTGTGTTCCTAGAGAAGTGTTTTTGTTGTTTTTTTTCCAAAATGATACTACCCAGAGACGTCTTATTTTAGGATAAAGTCCTACAGGGATGAACAGAGGAAAGGTACAACCCTTAAGCAAGGAAGAGAGCATGGAATGTTGAATAAGGTTATGTTGATTTGGAGAGCTTAATGTATAGAGACTAAGATTTTAAACCAAACCACAATATGGAACAGACAATGTAAAGGCTGACAGAGGATTGAAATATAGAAAAGGTAGGAGTTCAAGTAGATAAGCCTGGCAGAGGCATGCATTACAGATTGTAATAAGGTAGTCTAGGTTTAAGTGAGACCCATGAAGAGCAGATTACTGTAGTCAAAAAGAAACATAATGAGAGCATGGACAAGCATTTAAATTGCACTTTAACAATATGTATAAAAAACATTCATACTGTGTTTTTAAAAGGTGTAAGTGGCAAGTATTGGAGATTAATTAAATTGTAAGGAGCTGGGACATTTGAATACAGTGTAAGCTTTTTTAGCTTCAAGTATCAGTAGTTTAATGGAATCGTGTTTCTTGTCCCACACAATGTATCAAAGAGAAATTATTACCAACAGACTTTTACTAGTGCATCAAACTTCAAATGTTTTGTGTAGAAAAGAGAAGCGACTATATTACAATATTTTGAGAAATGAGCATTAATAGAATTCCAACGTAAAGTGTTAAAAGAACAAAACAAGTATTTGTTTTAAATCACTGTTTAGTAGATGCACCACAAAAGTAAAAAAAGGCATGCAGTTATTTCTGTTTTTTTCCTTTAGGGATATAGCTAACAAAAAAGCTTGCAATAGCTGCAGATCTCTTGCCTGCAGCATTTGCAAGCCCTTTCCTAGGCCCTGGGGAGATAGCGCAGCTCAGCGGACAAGGGCACATGTAGGAGTGTGGGGATTGATGCATGGGATTGGTTGGGAAGAGTGTGTGGGTGGGATTATGTTCTGTGTAAGTTAGTGTGGGGGAGGTCTTACCTCAGTGCCACTTGGGTTTCGGGCCAGCAAACAGTTTTCCTCCCGCCTGCCCTATTGGTATATTTCGTCACAGCTAGCCGGGGGTATGTCCTTGCCAAGTGAGTTTTAGTGGTTACGTTTAAGTATATGGAATGAGATGAACAAGTTCTTTTAGGTCTCAACCTCCCCTGCTTAAAAGGTTAAACATTAGGTTGCCTGAGGTGTCGTGCCCATCGAGCGTGGATAAGGTCGGCTGATGGCGGGCATTGGAAATATATGATTTTTATGACGAGGGGGGAGGTGAGACTAAGTGGTGATTAGGAACCACTGTATGTTTATTGGCAAGGACGGTTGGGTCACTGTATAACACTATGGGTGGAGTTATATATGTATATATGTTAATTTATGCTTATTTATGTCTAACCTTTTGGTTACAGAAAGAAGAGATTTAATAAACAAAGTTATGGATGTGTTATGCAGTAATTTAGTTTGTGATAATAAATGCTGTGGCCTGTTCATCCATACTAAGTGGTCTGTCGTTATTGGGGGGTAAATGGGTTTAGATTTGTGCTAGGCTGCATCGCGATTCCCCACTACGTACATACATGAAAAGCTGTGTGTTGAAGCTGCAAGTACACATAAACAAGCATGCAATCACGGTTCTCCTTCGCTTCTCATTGAGCTGTAATATAACACTTTCAGAAGGGTGGAAGGCAGGTACGCAGTCGCACATGCCACCTGCTGCTTCTGTTACTTTCTGGAGTTAACGGAAAAGGAAGAAAACCTTCCTCGGCTGTCTGCTTGATCCCTCGCTCTGCTCAGCTTTCTGTCATTAGTATTGGAGTCAGTGAGTGGTGCTCAGTGGGTTCTAGGTAAAAAGTCAATTACTCCTGGCACCATAATCACTAAAGTGTGCTCTGGTCGTTTTGGTGCTTGAACTAATCCTTGAAAGTTGAGCCGGACCTTGAAATCACTAAGCTAAATGGCATTTTTTTATCATCACTATAAACATCAGAAAGTGCTTATCTTACAGAAAGAGGAAAATCACAAAACATTTAATACAATTCATGCTTAAATGAGCCTGTTTAGACCCAAATGTACATAAAACCCTAACTGATCAAAAAGTATAATCATCTTCAATCTTCTTTTAGAAGAAAAATAAAATAATAAATCAATGCGAGCAAAATAATGAATCATTACAAATGTAAAAGTTGTAGAACATAGTTGAAGAAATTTAGCATTGAAGTCAACTAGATCAATTTATGTTGTATTGAAGGTCCAAGAAGCTCCATTCAGGACCAACAGTAGTTGTTGTAAGAACCATCTTTACTTTCAAACTTTCTGCAAAGGTATTTTTATTAGATTTAAGAGAGATAGACTGACATTTTTGGTGAGAGATGTAACGAGTGGAAGTGCACAACATAGATTGGCAATCGGTCAATAAACTGGGATATAGTATATTATAAAAAATTAAAATGACATAATTGACAATCTGTAAATATTTGTAAATGCCAACATTAGTGTTAATTGTAAAATGTTTTTGTAATAGATTAATTACATTTCATAGGATATATTGAACTTTACATGAAGCTACATTGGTTGGATTGGGTCAGTAGTTAAACTATGACTATTATTGTCACATGATGGTAAATGGTTTTGCAGGACACATTTTTTTATGCTGCAACATGTGGGTGTGGGTCATTGGTGTCTACACGGGGTATGTCCAGGTATACACCTATGATACAAGTAACAGATCTGTGGACCTTGCTGACCAGTATCTGTGCTCCATCACTGTTGAGAGGGAGTTTTCTCTGTGGGCCTGTTGCTACCAGCAATTTTTTAAAATATCATCTTCCCCACTCTGGAAGAGTGATGGGGCGAGGTGTGTTCATAGGTGTAGCTGTATGTATATGTAACTATATACATATGTAGCTTGCATGGGCTACTTTGTGTGTCAGTATGTTTGCATAGGTTACTGTGTATGCCAGTATGTTTATATGGATTTCTGTGTATGTTTCTATCGTTCACTGTGTGCGCGCAATGCTCTCTGGAGAAAATTTATTTGGAATGCAACTGCAGATTAAATAAATTTGATACCATCACTTTAAGAAAATAATTAGAGTTGAGTGGACACCTGGATGTTCGGGTCCAGCGGGTTCGGACGAACTTTGAAAAAAAGTCCAGGTTCGGACTCGAACTTGACCCCGAACCACATTGAAGTCAATGGGGACCCGAACTTTTGGGCACAAAAATGCCTCTACAAACCTCATGGGAGGAGCTAGAGAGCTGCAAAAGCAAGTAAAATGGGGGTAAGAGTAGGACAAGTGCCCTGCAAACAAATGTGGATAGGGAAATCACTTAAAATAACATAACAATTTAAAATACAGCTGAGCCATAAAATAGCACTAGATGGAATCTTTGATTTTAGCTTTGGAAGAACATAAATCAAAATCTAAAGCATGGCTGTCAGGACGATCAACATAATTACCCATTTGAGAGAGGGTTGGAGTGCAGGGTATTCTCTTTCATTGTTCAAACTCCTGATGCATGGAGAAAAGGCCTTCACAAGCCCCTGCTAATGTGTACCTAGTTTATACTAAGTGACCCATAGGTTGAGGAGGCTGTGACCATGGTGGTGGAGGAGGAGGATGAGGTAGCCAACACTGTTTTTAATGTTTTTTTTTTAAATTGTGGTAGCCCACAAAATATTGGAACATAGAAAAAAAAGAAAAATTTATGGCCTGCGGTGCATTTCTTGCAGTCCTGATGCATGGAGAAAAGGCCTTCTCAAGCTTCTGCTAATGTGTACCTAGTTTATACTAAGTGACCCATAGATTGAGGAGGCGGTGACCGTGGCGGTGGAGGAGGAAGCAGCGGTGGAGGAGGAGGAGGAGATAGCCAAGACTGTATTTTATGTTTTTTGTTTTGTTTTTTAAATTGTGGTAGCCCACAAAATATTGGGACATACAAATAAAGAAACATTTGCAGACTGCGGTGCATTTCTTGCAGTCCTGATGCATGCAGAAATGCTTAACTCCTGATGCAATGAGAAAAGGCTTTCACAAGCCTCTGCTAATGTGTACCTAGTTTATACTAAGTGACCCATAGGTTGAGGAGGTGGTGACTGTGGCGGTGGAGGAGGAGGAAGAGGTAGCCAACACTGTATGTTTATTTTTTTTAATTTTTTTTTATTGTGGTAGCCCCCAAAATATCGGGACATATAAAAAAAAAAAGAAAACTCTGTTCTGCAGAGTAGCTGTTGACATTATAGTTGCGCAGGAACTTTGTTGACTCTAGAGAACCGTGGGCAAATCACACATCCCTGTGGCGGCGACTTTGCATGCGGATGTCATCCATATCAACTGTCGATGCCAGTTTCTGCGCCTACCATGGTGACCATGGGTAACGAGGAATCAGGGTTCCATTCTGTACAGGGACCCTAAGAAACAGTTACCACATGCAAGGAAGGCAGCAGGTGCGCAAATGACCCACTCCCGACGCGGGAAGGTAGTGACGACAAATAACAATACAGAACTCTTTGGAGGCCCTGTAATTGTAATGAGTCTACTTGAAATCCTTTAACTCTGATCAATTGGAGCGAAGTCTGGTGCAGAGCCACTGACCCGTGCATGCTGCAGCTTAAACTCCACTATCGTCTGCTGCTACTCGCAAAGTCTCATGAGGCGGTGAGCGGGAAGGCCGAAGTTACACTGTAGCACAGACAGGCGAGCAGCAGCAGGGTGACAATGCCAAAAGTGCGCACAGCCGCAACAGTGAATGTCACATCCTGCTCCAAGTTGCGGATCAGTCTGGTGATGGCTTTTGGTATGAAGTATTCTTTTTACTGAAGCTGCATCAGGGTCCTGGTATGTGGCCTCACAAACGCTGGTGCTCAACACCAGGGGGCGTGCGGTTACCCTGCACCAGACCCTACTAATCTATTCCACACTGTGACTCAGGGATACTGTGTCCCAGTCGTCCGACCGCCACCCAGACAGTGTATGGGTCCTGGTCACCGGACTGCCCACCTCACTGTGAAACCACGAATGGATCGTTTTAACTGGTACGAACCTGAACTTTGCAGTTCGGGTTCACTCAAGTCTATTATGGATCCTTTGATCACTACATGTATTACTTGGATAACTGGTAATTCTCGAGCTAATACATGCTGGCGAGCGCTAGGGGACGGCTGTCCGCTTTTGCACCCTGCTCCCTCTTATGCGGTGCTGGTGCCTCTGTTCGACCAGCGCCTTTTCCTGCAAACTGCACACGTCACTTGCATGACCTTGATTCCATGTGGGGTCTAGGACCTCATCATTCTCCACATCATCTTCCACCCACTCCTCAACCCTGCCCTCCTTGCCGGTATGCACACTGCAGAAAGCCAAATCAGTTGGCACCTGTGTTTTTCCAGCATATAAAGTCTGCAGAGGACATATGGAAATTGTTTTAGAATTTCCTCCAGCCAACAGTTTTCCCTATAAACTGACCTCTCAGTTTGACTTGTGAGGGTATTGCCCCAGAATTACAATATATTGAAGTACCTCTTAGCTATTGATCACTGGTTTAAATATCGCAGCTGGTTATCTGGCAGTTTCTAGTGTAGAAAATATCAATCTGTTTTCTATCACTTAGATCTGTGTAACAAGTGTTGTAGGTGTGAAACAATATTGCAAGTGACCGATGTAGTAAATTCGAATCAAAGTTACGCTTCAATTTGACTCTCAGATATGAAGTGAACACCCCAAATATGCTATTTAGTGCAAAAAAAAAAAAAAGTTGACTTTTTAAAACTCCAATGTAAGCAGCAGATTAGCAGCAAAACAATTAGCACACTATTTGACGCTTCGATTTGACTTTCAGATATGACGTGCACCCCACTAAAATACTATTTAGCAGTTTAGGACCCAAAAATGTTTTACGTTTTAAAACTGCAATGTGACAGCAGTATTTGACTTCTATTTGACTCTCAGATATGAAGTACACCTAACTAATGTACTATTTTGCACCAAAAAAAAAAATTACTTTTGAAAACTCCGAAGTAACCGCGGTATTTGAAGCTTCTATTTGACTCTCAGATATGAAGTGCACTCTACCACACTAATGTACTAGTTTGCAGAATTCTTTCCTAAGCTGTCCCTATCAGGGGCAGCATCCTCTCCCTACACTAATAAGACCGCATGTGCTTATATAAAGAAGCTGGGTCACATGCTGCACTGGCCAATCACAGCCATGCCATTAGTAGGCATGGCTGTGATGGCTTCTAAGGGCACACAAGTCAAACGCTTGTTGATTGGCTGCCCTGCGGCTTTTCTAAATGCATCATTAAATCGCTTAACACCGAACTCCAACCTGAACATACAGTGATATGTCCGTGTTCGGGTCCGGGTACCAAAAAACCTAATGTTTGGTACGAATCCGAACTTTTCAGTTCGAGTTCGCTCAACTCTAAAAATAATTAATTTAAATAAATGAAATTAATGGTGGCAGTCTTTTGTAGCAAATAGGTTTTGAAATAATGCATGAATGCTTGGAATCTTGTTTTAGAATTGCAACAATTATAAAAATAAGGAAATGCTTAATCAGCAGCAGCAAACGATATAGTCAAAGTGACTTCTATGAGGAATGCTTAATTAGCAGTAAGTAGTATAGTCCATAAGACTTCAATAAGGTTGCCAAGCAGGTGACTCCTGTAGTACAAAGTAACAGTCTCTTAGTACAGGAAATAACTTGGCTATGAATTATCCTGGTATGTGAAGTGGTTGTAGTTAGCAGGCTCAAATAGCAATAACTAATATCATTGTGTAATTGGCAAATGATATTTAAAATAGATATATCAAGTAGAATCTCAGAGGCAGACTTTGGATAACCTTTATCCTTGCCAGAAACTTTTAGCTAGAACCAATTAGTAAATACACTCATAGGAGAACTTATCTTTACTTAATGAATGATGGGAGTTGAAGTCTTTCCAGTGTAGATTGCTTTATGGTTCATTGAAGTAACTTAAGAGATGCAGAAATGAGAGAGGGAGATGGCTCATCTTAGGTCGGGTGCAGCTTCCTTTTAACTCAGGAAGGGATGACATCACAAGCATATGTGGTCTGATCGCTAAATGTCGATCTGGCTGGAATCAAATATGGAGGAATTCCCAAACAACTTGAGTGAATCCTGACAGTGTGTATGGGTCCCTGTATGTGTATTTAAGTGGGCATGTATGGGTCACTGTATGTGTGGGTGTTTCAGTCAGTGTGCATGTGGATCACTGTTTGTGTATAAATGTGTTTGTACACACACACAGTGGCTTATACACACACACTTATACACTTAGTGACTATGTGTGTCAGTGTGTGTATGAGCCGCTGTGTGTGCATCAATGAGTATCATAGTACAGCATTTGTATGGGTGTGTGTGGGTCAATATGTGTGTTGTGTGGGTCAGTATGTGTGCATCAGTGATTGTGTGTCAGTGTGTGTCTGCCAGTATGCGGTATATGTATCTGAGCGAGTGTATGTATTGCTCAGTAAAACTGCATGTCAGTGAGCATCAATGTGTGTGTTCATCCATTCTTCAAATAGAGCATGATATATTGTGTGTGTTCCTTAACATTAGAAAGTTTAATTAATAAAACTATTTTTAATTTATGTATTTCTATATATCCACATATGTGTATGTATATTTCTAAATGTAATATTAAATATACGTGTGTATGTTATGCCTAATTTTTTAAATGATTGCTTATAATATACAAATATTAATATCGTACACATACATAAATAGACATACTGCAGTCAGAAATTACATCAACAAATATAAAATGTAACAAGTGCTCCTCACAGATTATTCACTAAATTGAATTGTAGAAAGTGAAAATCTGAATTGCATAATTTAAGACAAAATAGCTGATGTGGACAAATCTTTAACTCTGCTATAATGATAGGTTGAATATTTTCATGTAAATTTTACATTTCAGGATCTCATTTGCAAAAATGCAGATCACAGTGTTTGTTCCCTCATGATCCTGGGCCGGAAGAAGCTTTTTCAGAGGTGCAGTCCACACGTTTCTACCACTTGACTGCGGGGGAGTTAAACCGCAGAACCTAATGGGCCACCAGGAAGAAGGGCCATGATAACAGCCTCACTGGAGCACCAATGTCCATGGTCCTTCAGGCACCCGTGCTGCACCCAGCCTGCTGAAGAAGATGTCAGATGTCCTAGAACTAAATCACAACCTGCAAGGAGAAACCAGAAGCAGGGGATGCAGATGCAGGAACCCAGTGGGACACAGTTAAGTTGTTAAACTGTTCTAGGCAAGTACACACTAGCACAATATGACAAACTACAGTGGGAAGACACAGGACAGACCTGGCACCATAATTTCTACAGTGGGCTGTAGTGTTTATGGTGTTTCCAATGTCATTTGAATTAATATATTTGCTGTATATAAAATAAAACATAACAGAGAACTACTGGGTGAATACTCTAATTAGATTTTCTGTGCATGCCTATGGTTGCATCTTCATTATTAGACTATATATTATCTTATTGCTAGTAATACCTTCAAAGTTTCCCTATTTAGGAGGAACAGTCCATATATTTAGGAGGATAGTCCCTATTAGGAACTCATACACCTCTACCCCTCTGCCCCTCTATCCTATGTCCTTCTTTGCTATGAGCTCAATGTTGTTAATGTGTTTGAGTGGATAACCGAGCTGCACAGAATTAATGTTCATAGTAATTGTGGCGGAACCAACCTCGCCACTGTGCACTGGAGAAGCCTGGTTGCTCGTCTGTTCCCTTTAGACTATGGCCCGATGGTTAAATCCTTCTATTATCCCTGCTGAAAGGCTTATTCGTGCCTTTCTGCCAGGGGGTTCAGTAGATTCAATCTACCGAACAAAGTACCAAACGATGGACCACCTGGGAACTGGAGTGTGCTGTCAATTGACCGCAGCTTAATTGACGAAAGCTGGGTGGCCTTTGTTCATTTGCCAAACATGTGCCAGCGGCCATTTTAACTCCTGAACGGCCAGCGGTGTTCAGCGCCCAAACTATAGAACTGAAAATGGACACTTACTTGCGCTAACACCACTAAGCCGCCAGCCTCCTTACCTCTGCATTTGGTAGTGGAACAGAATGACTGTTCATTCAGTAGTTTAACCGGATAAACAGCATCACCCCAGATAGCTAAGCCATGGAGCCCATTCATGTAACGAAAGACTATGGGAAGACTTTGGCTCCATGGCGATTGAACTGTAGGGATGTGATCGGAGCGCCATTCAGTAATAATGTGCGCTCAGATCTAAGCTATCTGGGGATATGTAGAATGTATGTGTTTTGTTAATTATTTGCAACAGTGGGGATTTTTGAGTCTTTTTATTGACATGTGCTCAATGGAGTTTTGCCTCTGTCCTGGGAGATAATTGGATTACTTCCCAATTATCTCCAGGATAGAGAGGAGGAACTGTGATGCATTATGGGTGTATGTCTGTAAATGGTTAATGGCCAATATGTTTC